TTGCGAATAAGCAAGCTATAAGTTTAATTGTGTTACCAAGTTTAGTTAAGCGCTGTTATTGCTTTAACAAGTATTGTAGTGTTTTTACTGTATTAGCAAGTATTGTAAAATTGTTTGTTGTACAATAAAGTTAATTGTAATACCATTTGGTCATCGTTTGCCTTTATTTAACAATCCAGCGATACGAACCGGAAGATTTGGGAAATCCGGACGAGGGTTCAAGGATAATCGTAACAATTGGTGTCAGAAGTGGGATTGTTAAATAAATCCCGAAGGAGAAACTACTAAAAATGGCGAAAATTCAGGACTTAAAAATTGAGGAGCTGAAACAGGAGTTGGAAAAGCGTAATTTGGCCACCTCCGGAAGAAAAGTGGAATTGTTATCCCGGTTGCGAGAGGCTATGGAAGCTGAAGGCATCGACGTGGACAAATACGACTTCCAAGGTAAACCCGACGATACATCCGCAAAGGACGAACAGAAGGATGAGGCTGCATGTTCGTCAAAGGATTTGCAACAGACATCCGGGAAGGTTGAAGAACAGCAAAATGCTCCTTGTTCATCAACAGGTATGGACATGAACACGTTATTGGCTGCCATGTCACAGATGATGCAGGAACAGAGGTCGCAGTTGTCGTCAGACGTTTCCTCACAGATGCAAGCCTTGGAAACACGTATATCTTCCGAGGTATCAGCGCAGGTGTCATCCCGGTTAGAAACTCAGCTACAGGCACAGGAGGCACGCATATCATCACAGCTGGAAGCACAGGATAAAAAAATTACACAAATACAGGACAAACTTGAAGAGAGACAGGAGAAAGTCGAGGCTAAGGTAGAAGAGTTGGAAGGTCGCCTCCGAGATATGCAGTTGAATCGTCCAGCTACTTCGACGAGCGCACCCAAGGTAAAAACCCCATCCTTTGACGGCACGATTCCTTTCCAGATCTTTAAGCTCCAGTTCGAAAAAACGGCTGCAGCAAATCATTGGAGCATGGAGGATAAATCCGCTGCACTATTCGTTGCATTGAAAGGACCTGCGGCAGAAATCTTGCGGACTATTCCCGACTGTGAAAGGAACAGTTACGATGCGTTAATGGGTGCAGTGGAAAGACGTTATGGTAGCGAGCACAGGAGACAGATTTACCAGATGGAGCTGGAGAATCGCTGCCAGAAATCCAACGAGACTCTACAGGAATTCGCCTCCGAGGTTGAAAGGTTGGCTCATTTGGCAATTGGAGATGCATCTGGCGAGCACCTCGAAAGAGTAAAAATCCAGAGGTTCATCAACGGAATGCGGGACGTGTATACCAAGCGAGAGACGTACGCGAATCCAAAGCCAACATTTGCTGAAACTGTCTCGTATGCTCAGACGCGTGAAACGGCGGCGCTCCTAAGTAGACCAGCCTACAAAGCACATCGCGTGGAAGTGGAAACACCGGACGAGACAAATGAAATGCTGAAGAAGATTATCCAACTGCTGGGCGAGAAAAAGCATGGTTCTGGCAAATGTTTTAAATGTGGAAAGTCAGGCCACTTCGCCCGCGATTGCAGCGCAAGTCCCAATGGTCTCAACAATTCAGCAGGACGCAAACGCAGGGCTGAAGGAGACGAAGCCAACTCCAATCAGTCGTTAAACTGAAACGAGCCAGCAGGAAGGGCCGCGTGCTGGCTCCAGAAGTTGAAGGGCCCATAATCTCCGTCTCACAAATTGGCCGGAATGCGAGCAACCTCACTATTGGTGGATGTGTGAATGGGCAGGAGAGAGTACTGACAGTGGATACTGGAGCGACACATTCCATTATTCGACCGGATTTGGCCACTTTTTATGTGAAGCCACTACCTGGAGCAAAGCTGCAGACTGCAACTGGTGAATGCACCCAAGTATTAGGAGAAGTACCATGCGAGGTAATAATCGACGATTGGGCCTCGTACACTAAGTTTATAGTGGCAGACATTGTGGATGAAGTCATCATCGGCGTGGATTTCTTACTTGGCCAAGGCATGAAGATTGACCTCCAGAGAATGATCCTGACAGATCGTCACAGGAAAGTGCCACTTAGGGTTGGTTACGACAGCCAGTGCTGCAGCAGACGGTTAGTCTTAGAGGAAGTGTCGAAGATTCCACCAGAAACGGAAGCGGTTAGTTGGGCGGAGTTTGGCAGTGATGGAGACGAAGTGGTTTCGTCAGGAGAAGGAAGCGGTTCACCGATACAGGAAAAGCGTGACGGTTCCGCTAGCTCAGTGAAGAAGAGGTCGCAACAAGGAAGTGGTCATGGCGAGCCAGGCAGTGTTTCCGGCAGGAGGAAAGCCACTGAACCACGTTGCAATGGTGATACGCCGGTGGCCGGAAATGGAAGCGGCTGTGGTAGCAGTAGGCGCGCTTTGAAGTGTCCTGAAAAAGGTGGTCGGCAAAAGCGGGCAGTTAAGCCGGATGCCAAGGGTGAGATTATACATGTCCGGTCAATGAAGTTAGCATCGGCGGAAGAGCGAGATACGAAACGACGGCGGAAGCTTCAGCGTAAGGATCCGGATGTAGCAAGATGTGCTAAAGGCAGTGCAGCACGAAGGCAGGAGCCTCGGTGTCATGGACAGAGGATGCGGCATAGATCTGGCGAAAAGGGTGCCAATGAGAAGAGACATGGTCTGGTCACCACCAGTGGCCGGCAGAAGCACGACCATGTGAGATGGTGCTCCACCGGAGATAAGCTGGAGGCAATGTCCAGTAACGCATCGAGCCGAGAGGAGCTACAGGAAGGGGATTCGGTGTTGTTGCACATGCCGCAGCCGAAGAACGGCTTCACCTCCGAACAACATCGTAACTGGAAAGTTCCGTATAGGATTGACAAACGGCTGAAGGACGCAGTGCATCGAATCCAGACAATGGGGAGACCGAGGACCAAGATGAAAGTGGTCCACTTGGAAAGACTTGCAGCGGTTGGAGCGGCAAGTGTGTCTGATCGGGACGATCAGACTTAGGTGGAGGGCAGTGTGGCGAATACTGCGGCAACACAAAGCGAACAACGAGAAATAGGCAGAATGTTCGAAGAATGACGTAGAATGTTCCACAAAGAGAAACGTCAAGTTGGATGAACACTGCGAACAGTGAGAGAAAGAGAATGAGCGATAAACTTCAGAATGTTCTAGAGTTGCCATAAGTGCCAGCGCAGGTATATAAGGGCGCCGCCACCACGAGGTGAGTTAGTTACGAAGTTACAAGTCAGCAAGCTACAAGTAAAGTAAGCAGAGAAGCGAGTTGCGAATAAGCAAGCTATAAGTTTAATTGTGTTACCAAGTTTAGTTAAGCGCTGTTATTGCTTTAACAAGTATTGTAGTGTTTTTACTGTATTAGCAAGTATTGTAAAATTGTTTGTTGTACAATAAAGTTAATTGTAATACCATTTGGTCATCGTTTGCCTTTATTTAACAATCCAGCGATACGAACCGGAAGATTTGGGAAATCCGGACGAGGGTTCAAGGATAATCGTAACAATATTTTTTAGGCAAAGAATCGAAATCTATAGAATTCTCTCTTAAAACAGATTTCTTCGAAAGAGTTTTGTTTATTTTTCCACAGGTCCACTCGTATAGTGCAACAGAGTAGGTACCGTAGTGTAAAAAAAACCTTTGATGAGGTTTTTTCTTGCACTAAACTTAAGCCTTTTCTCAAGACCGATAGAATACAAGATTGCGCTGGTTAATGTAAAATTCGGAATAGTAACGTGACGTCATAGCAAATTTGCCGGTGGCTGAGAGAGATCTGTCAGTAGGTATATTTTTGTATATATATATTACACAGACAATAAACAAAATCTGCTATGACGTCACACTTCTGTCAAAATTTCCAAGAGAGAGTTAGTGGTATCACAATGAGCGCCACCCATGAACCAAAAAGACAAGATCACGCGGGCAGGAGAGTAGCCCGTTAGAATCGCATTTAGGGAAAAAGTTGCACGATTTTGACATTAGCCATTTGTTTACATTTCATCGTTGTTTACAATTTGGTGGTGGCTTTTTACTGCAATTTTCTTCATTTTCGCTTGTGACAATGTGTGTACACATAAGATAAAGAATAATTTAACACAACGGCATGATTTATAGAAGAATTTGCATAACAAAAATGATTTTTCATGCATTCAACAATTTCGCGGTTTTCTCCGTTCTCTTCGTTGTTTACTTCTAACAACAAAGATGGCGTCGAGATTTCGGCAGCTAGAAAATAACTTTTTTCATTCTTTCCTTCCCGCGTGATCTTGTGTCTTTCGTTCATGAGCGCCACCTTCTGTATACGTTTCACCATGAGCCTTTTCTTGCGCTAATTGTGGAGATAGTTATACCATGTTCTGACCGACATCGAAAACATGTTTTCGTTGCTAAAACTGGTTTTCGACTTAAAACTTGTGTTTTCGTCCATGTAAAATGTGTCAAACGAAAACCAGTTTTCGCTGAAAACTACTTGAAAACTCACGTTCCACTCATTACAATCGGTGTCTTCACTAGTTTTTTCGATTGTTTATCGAAGTGGAAGTCATATTTTGTCATCTTTAATACGCCATTTCGGATTTATTGTTAATTGGCTGGCAAAAGTAAAATAAGAATGAAAGTAACAGGTTGCTAATGAAAAGAAAATGAGGGAAAAGCATTTTGGTTTTGTTTTTGTGTAGCAAAACTGTAATCAGAGGTTGTAAGAAATGTCAACGAAAACACTAACAGCCGGTGTAAACATCCGTCAGCCCACAATCCCAAAACACGTTTTCAAAGTGTTTTCGTTGTCGGTCAGAACATGGTATTATAGCCTGTTCCCATACTTCACGATTTGCAGGTTTGCCAGGAACAGCTGTGGACGTGGCCTTCGGAAACGACTTTGGACTAAATCCTGCAAAACCTGCAAATCATAGACGTTCTGGAACACACTAATTGTTATGCACTGCACTTTTAGTGATTTCATCGAACAGACCTCATATGTATTCGAAAACTCCGAAAACGTTTATCACGTCTAAAAAGTTCTCTGGTTAGATTATAAAAAACTCATGGCAACACTGAAAAACATTTGTGTACTGTCAAAATAGGAGAATAGTCAATAGATTACAAAACGAGCAAATTGTAGATTAAAAGAAAGGAAAAACCTTGTAAATTTATTTTTAATTACAAAATGTCGATTTTAATAAGATGTGCGCGTATACGGCAAGTTTTACTGGTAAGCTTCCTATAGCTGACACTACACCTTAACTGCTCAAAAACACACAAAACCAGCACCCAATCCTGCGGTGGGCTTCTTAAAACTAACCTATTTTTCAATAGAAATATAAGATAAACACATTCCATTTTAATCAAATAATGTATATTCGATCATTCAGGGCACAATCACCATACTGTCAACTAACCTTGCGCGTTGATATGTTTTCTTTTCAGCAACGGATGTATTCATCTTCCAAGTCTTCTAATCCATCAACAAACACTGAAGTTAAAACGATACCCAAAAACTTACTGGAAGATAGTCAAACATCCCATCTGCAAGCAGAGAATGGTGCTATCTTTGACAAGAAGCCATTCAAAATTCATTTAGAAGCGAGTAGGTGAATCAAATCATTTGTAAATAATACTATACTCCTATGTATACCTGTTTCAACTCTCCTTTAGATAAAATTTATAGCTGGTGTCTATGTGGAAAATCGAAATGCCAGCCAATTTGCGATGGTATGCATAAGAATGAGTTCTTAAAAATAAAGTTACGGTAAGTAATTACCAAAGCTTTAGGGGCCCCAAATTATTACATTATGCCATTTTTTCCGTTGCAGACCTGTGCGATTTCAAGTGGAAAAAACTGGTGATTATTGGCTATGCAATTGCAAGCAAACCAAACATCGCCCTTT